CAACAGCTGCTCTGAGGGTGAAGGCTGGGCCATCCCTCTCATCTGATTTACAACTAGAGGATCAGCTGTGAGTAGGTTCCAACTCGATGGCAGGAAGATTTTGGGGGGGTTTTGGGATGTTGTTTTTTTTTTTTAGTCTTTGTGTGTGAGAAAATATTGAATTGAATAAAAGTCAGCCACAATCTCATTCATCCCAAAAGGAAATGAATCTTATATTTAACGCGAAGATTGAAAGCACTTTTTTTTTAATTGCCCAGGATTTTTGGACTGAGTTCTTTTTGATGTTTAAATCCTTCTGCTAGACTAAAATATTTCTTCGTGAGCCATCTTCATTGAACACACAGTACTCTTGTCCACCGTTTCCTGAGTCACGTATTTCACTTGTTCATTGTTGATGCTCCTTGGACATGGTCATGATTTCCTCAGCCATGGAGATGTTGTAGTTTATGGAAGGAAACCAAACAGATGATTCAGCAGTTACCTTTGATTTTTGTTTTCACTTATTTCCGAATTAATATTGAACTTTTAAAAATAAAGCTCTTTGATGATGCAGCCACTCAGGGTGAGGAAGGAGCCGTGTTTCTATTAAGTGCCCCATTATGCATGTACATGGAGATTGGTCTTTGACAAATGTCCTGGGATAATTTGTTATTGTTGTTGTTATGTGCCCTCGAGTCATAGACGACTCATAGCAACCCAGTGAACAAAAGATCAGAGCACTGTTCATAGAGTTACAGGAGGCAAGCCATTTCGGAAGTGGATGCGACTCCTTCCCAGCTTGTTTTAATGGGGGGGCTCCACCAAACACTGTCCTCCACAGGTGACCATTATCACATTTGGCACATCAGTGTCACAATGTTTAGCATCACAGCAACCACGAGTTACCTCTGTTCAGCAATATCGTTGATGTAGCATTTCTATTATAATCATCTGTCATGGACTGAATTGTGTCTTCCAAAATATGTAGTCATATCGGATAATTTAAGAGAGTTGAAAATGGGGCCCCAAAGCAATATTTTACATTTGCAGGCAATTTATGGTTTCTAAAAGCTCCTTTCTATTTGAGAATGTAGAAAGAAGAAAAAATGATTCAAATCCACAAAAGACCAGGCTTAGTAGACTAATAGAGACTGGAGGAACCCTAGAGAATATGGCCATGAACCATGAGACGCTCTTTAGCTTTCCTCTGCAGCTACCCCTCCTGGAGGTCTCCTTTCAACCAAATAACACATTGGTGTTGAGCAGAGTGAGGAACTGACCCACAGCTGACCCTTCCACTGATTTTCTGAAACATTAACCCACAAGGGAGGAGTTTGCCTGCCTTCTTCCTGTAGAGCTGCTGGTGGATTCAAACTGTTAGTTTTGGGCTGGCGGTGCAGGTCCTTATCACAGAGCCAACAGAGCTCCCTGATAACGTGTTGACCTAGAAAATAAATAATGCCTTGAGAAATGTCTTGTTTTAAAGAACAAATGGGCAACATTTGTCCCACAAGCAAAGATAACAAGGCAAAGGATAGCTCATTTAGGTGGGAAAACAGTCAGACTCTAGACACTTGTGCATCAGCTGTTGAATGAGAAACTCATTTTCTGTGTAATCTCTCCCCTAAAGTATAGTAAGAGGTTAACAAAATGTTTTTTTTAAAAACAACTCTTTGGTTTTCTGTAAGAAACCTAGTTTTTTTAAAAGGATAATTTGGAGGCAGAAGTGGCATCCACTTCCTAAACAGCATGTCTCCAGAAACTATGAACTTTGATAAATGTCCGTAGTTGTAGAGGGGCTTCAGGCCTTTTGTTCATGGGGTCGCTGTGAGTCATGCTTGACTCGAAGGCAATCCACAACAACAACAATTTATACTTTAGATTGACATTTCTTAACTGGTGGAAAATTAATTCTTACAAAAGACATTAATAAGAAGATAATCTTTCATCTTTATATAGTCCTAATTTTTATTTCTTGCCTTCCCCCCTTCAATAGAAATGGATTTTATTGATTATTTGCCCAGTTTAGGAAATGAAAGTACTTTTTTAAAATAAATCTGAACTTATATGGTGAGAAGATAGCAGTACCTTGTATTTTTGTGGTAGTTACCCACGTGGCAGTAGTTGATGCCAGCATCCCAAAGGCAGATGGTTCAAATCCATCACCTGCTCTGAGGGGCAAGGATGGAAAGTCCCTGCTATAAGGCACAGTCTCTGCAAACTTGGAGGGTCGCTTTTAGCTTGAGGGCATATAACAACAACATCACCACCCTTATTTATAAGCCTAGAGCGCATTTCATATTTACTGAGAGCCCTGTTTGTCAGCCAGGTTTGTCTACATGATTGGTTACTGGAAGTTTTGCAATGACTGAAATAATACTGGTTGTAAGTGTTTAGAAAGCAAATGTTTCTTTCTGTGCACCTTTCAGTGTACAGCAGAGGATTAAATGTAGATTCCTTATAAGTTGGCCATCTGGTATATACCTTTCTTTATGCCTAATAGCCAATGTTGTTGTTGTTAAGTGCAGTTGCAGATGACTCATAGCGACCCTATGAAAGAGAGTCCTCAGTGCTTGTGTGTCTTTCATCCTCTCTCCAGGTTCATAGCCAATAGGAATGAGAAAATGCTATAAAATTCCACATGCTTGTATTGACAATAGGGAAAATCATAGCATATTTAAGTATCAAGTACAGCCCCAAGCAGACTATCTTTGTGGCCTCCTTTTGAATAGATTGGATAATGTTTTGACAAACCTTAACAGGGCCAATGGTGTGAATTCCCGGTAGTGTGGTTTATATGTCAACATACTTTTTCAGGCTGTCTGTTAGACAAATTATTCAAGAAACGGGACTTTATGCAAATTATGGTGATATCAAAATTGGAAGAAAAACCATTAACAACTTGACATAGGCAGGTTGACACAATCTTCCTCAGGGGAAAAAACAGGTTTGAAGCACTTGGTGCTAAAGCTCAAGGACTTACAGTATTAATTCCAACTCAGCATAATGTAAACACACATCTCCCCAACTGGGCTGGTAAGCAACACTGAGAGAAATGAAGAAAAGACTGACTTTGTCAAGAGTTTCCGTTTATTGAGATCCACAGTCAACACCCTTGCAAGCAGCAGTTAGGAAATCAAATGAAGGGAAGAAAGAAGTTAAATGATATGTTGCATTGGACAAATATCGTCCCCCAGCCCAGTCCTCCCTAAAGTCTTGAAAAGTGATGAAAAGTCATCCTTTTGATGACTGATGGGTGCCTGGTGCAAGCCGTGGTAATTTCAGTCTTCTCCTGTTCATGTGAAGACTGAATAATAACATGGTAATTGAAGAAGAATTGATGCCTTTAAGTTATGGGATTCGTGAATAATAGTGAATATATCATGGACTTCCAGAAGAACATAGAAATGTTGGTACAGCCAGAATGCTCCTTAGAAGCCAAAGGTGGTGATATGACATGTCACAAACTTTGAACATAGTACCCAGTGGTGTCAGCCCTAGAGAAGGAGGACCATGATTGGCAAAGTGGGAAGTTGGCAAAAAAGGGGAAGACTCTAAATGAAGCCGATTGCTTAGTGGCTACAGGAATGGGTTTCAGTGTGGCCATGGTTGTGGGGTTAATGCAGGACCAGGCAGCATTTCCTCCTGTTAATATAAAGTTTGCTGTGAGTCAGAACGACCTCATGACACCTACCAATAACAAAGCACCGTATCCCAGAAGTGTGCCGGTTAACAGCAAGCCTTTGGTGGAAATCCGTCTACTCATTTCCATGGTCTTGATCAGTGTAGTGTTTTGTTTCGATGAGGCATAGATGACGTCTTACCGGAGTCGATTCCTCCTCCTTCACTGTATGAGACTTTAAAAAATGACTTAAGATAGTGTCACGAGAAGTACATGCATCTACATGTATGTTGTTGTTATGTGCCATCAAGTTGCTTGCAACTCTTAGCAACCCTATGTACAACAGCCCTAAACCCTGCTCTATCCCTTGCCAATCTTATTGTCACCGACACACCTACCCTGATTACTCCAGTCACTGAATCAGTCTACCTCATTGAGAGTCTTCCTCTCTTGTGCTCTCTTCACCCTCCCAAGCGTGACATCCCTCTCCAGGGACTAGTCCCTCCTTGCAGTCATTCATTCATTCATTCATTTATTTTAATTTTCCTACTAATTTATTTATAAAACTTGAATACAAATTCAAACAAATTCTTTCAATTTCCCTTAACCCACCTATCAAATTGTACAACCCCATGGTTAATCCCCCTTCCCCCTGCACATCCACATCCCTCTGCTTCTAGCCTCTCCCACCCCTCCTCGATCCTTATATTCATTCTACAATAACGGTTTTATACAATATTTATCCTAGGGGAACTGAGTTAGTTCTCTCAGCATAATGCTCTCTTGTCCCTCCCAAGTTAGGTAATAATTTACAGAGTTATTTCTCCTGCATGCTGTGTAGTGTTCCATTGTGTGACTGTACCATAATTTCTCAATCCATTCGTTTGTGGTTGGACATTTGGGCTGTTTGCATTTTACGTATACTCCTTCTATATTAAAAACAACTAGAGAGAGAAAAGTCTTAAAAACATACTGAATAATAAAAATCAACACCCAAGCTCATTCCCCTTGTGCAGTTTCTGACTCCTGATGGAGCAGAGCAGGATGACCCCGTATTGTTTTCAGTGCTATACATATTGCCATGCCATAAACGTAATCATTCCAAGACCGTGGGCATGGGGTGTCTGGATGGACCAGTGCCTGGAGAAGACCACCAGTCCGTGAAGAAGGACCTCATTCTCACCATCTCTTAGATACTTGTGTCCGTTACCACAGTCACCGACCATGTCAGTGCATCTTGTTGAATTAGACCACTGGAATTCAACAGGCACTAAAGATTTCTTCTTCTATGAGAGATAAAATGAAAGTTGTGGGGAAATGTATTAGCATGATATAGGCGTAAGATGTTTACTTAATAATATGTACTAATAACATTCTGTCATTTTGTTCTTTTCTTCAGGTGATTGAAGACAATACGGGAGTCCGTCGGGTGGTGGTCACACCCCAGTCTCCTGAGTGTTACCCCCCGAGCTATCCCTCAGCCATGTCTCCCACCCATCACCTACCCCCCTACATGACTCACCACCCACATTTTATTCCTAATTCACACACGGCTTACTACCCACCTGTGACGGGACCTGGAGACATGCCGCCTCAGTTCTTTCCTCAGCATCATCTTCCCCCTACAATATACAGCGAGCAAGGTGAGCAGACTGTTCCCTCAGGGGCTGTTGAAACTGGCACAGCACGCAGGTGGCGTGAGAGGAGCCCTTTGTTTTGTCTGAACTGGGAAGGTTGAAAAGGATCTAGGCAGCGCATCAGCTCCCGGGAAATCCCTCGTTTCCTTTGTCCTGTTGTGTCTTGTGCGATTCCTTTGTGGGTTTCAGGCCTGCTCTTCTATTTCCAAGCTCTGTACCCCAACCCAAGCTTTACGGAGATCAGGAAGCCCAGGCGCTACTTTTTAGTTTAGAAAGTAGGAGTGGAGTGACCTAGCAAAAATGTTCCTGTATCCTGTAAATATTTGTGAGACTGGCCAAGGCAGAACTGTGGCTTTGGTAGTTTTCAACTTCTGTTTGGTCTAGCTGAGAAAGGGATATTTAAAAGTGTTAGATGCTCCATCATGGGAATATTGTGAGATCTCAGTCACGTTTGGGATATGTACAAGTTCCATGTTGCAATCTTGGCAAAAATCAGAATCCCTTTCTGCTAGGGGTGGATTCTTCCTGAGACCTGCCTACAATTTAGCACTAACTTTTAGTGCAGCTACTTCTTCCTGATTGCTAAGCAGATACTTTCTTGAGAGGAAGAGATCCTCAGATCTAGCCCCAGTATGTCTTTTACAGTTGTTTAAGACTAAAGCCTATCTCTTATCAAAATGGATATTAAGAAACTAGACAAATGAAGGTAAAAAGTAAAACTTTTCACCTTTTATGTTCAGAAAAGTGATTGTCTTCAGAGACTGATAGGAAGCATTTTTCTGCTCTAGATTGGGACATTTGTTCAGATAGATTAGAAATACCTGTTACGTGAAAGAATGTTTCAGGAGTTACTCTGTGACTCTCGTCACTTACACAGGCACTTTCCCACATTGCAGATATCTCCTCCTCCTCTCTCATTAACAAAAGAAACATCCTTGAGGTGACAATTTCAAGTGAAATAATCTTGAGCAAGTTAGGGAGAGAACTTGACTGCTTGTGTTTTTCTCCTGAGTAATCAGAAAGAAATTGAGCATGATTTAAAAAATAATCTGGCATTATCATATTAAGATGATAATAGCAAAATATGAAATTAACACTTAGGATTTCTTGGAGACCTCAATAACCTACAGCCGTTATCTTTTGTCCCGTAATAAAGCACTCCTAAACAACTTGGCAGAGTGTGTGTGCCAGGAGAGCGTCAGTGGTATTTTTAACAAGGATTCTTCGCTGTGGCACAATACGTAACATTAACTCTGTGAGCATTTGCTTGAGTTTTCTGGATCTGAGTTACGATGCCATTGGGAAGGATTTGAGTGACTCGCTTATCTCTTTCGTTAAGGAGTTTCTGACTAGCCCTATTTTAATAGCTTATTAATAGTGTTCCAGATGGCCACGGTTTTCTGAATAGTATTCTTTGCAGTTTTTAGGTATGCCAGCAGTTGTTTAGGTCAGCCATAGTTGAAATGACGAACCCTGGTGTTGGGAGACAGCTATGACAGTTGATGTCTGTAAAGATTTACAGTCTTGGCATCCCCTTGGAAAGCCCTAACTCATCCAGTGAGATCACTGCTAGTCGGAAGAGAGGCCATGAAACTAGCTTCTCACCCCCCCAATCTTCATTTCATAGTGCATTTTAATCTAATTTCATTAAAATCATGAACAAATAAGTGCACAATAAATTAAAGTACCTGCATTGATTTCAAATTAAGGGGAGACGTGTGGCCAAAAATCCCATTTTGTTTCGAAATAAAACCCTTTCTCTATTTTCTCCCTAAAGTCTAAATGTGTATACCTAAAGCAATTTAAACATTAATTTTGTAAAATGTAAAATTTTTAAGTCTTCAACATGTTTTAAAATATTAGTATTTTAGTACCTGTCATGAATATTTTCAATCTCAAATATTGTACATTATAATATTTAAAGACTTTATTATTTGTGTATATTTTGACAGTTTATTTGGACATATTTTCTGAGACTAGAACTGGGTTTTTTTGCATGTTCTGGAGCAAATTAATTTCTTTCCCAGATCTTCCTTAAGCAGTGTGATTGGGAAGAAGGTGGGAAGTCTGTCTTTACTGAGCAGCCTTGAAGCATTGTTTACTAAATGATGTTGACTGCTCAAGCTTTCCTAGGACTGCCCTGATGTGGGTCTCTTGGCCCAGAAAAATTATTAATCTTTTTTTAACTCTCTGAAGTATTAAAATTTGGATGTTGACCTATATGGTCCCTGTGTATGAGGACTCTTTTTTTCTTTTTAAAGATGAAAAGACCTAGCTTCTGTATAATTTCCATCTTTATTGGCCCTTGGGAATAAATTGAAACTGATTTAAACTTAAAAAAAAAAATGATAGTCACTGCCTCCAACTCTAGAATCATAGGATGGTTTTTCAGAATCTGGTTTCTGGTAAACCAGTTAAAACTATGCCTTGTCAGCTGGGTAACACTCCCCTAGTGTGGGATGTTTTTTTCTCAGGATGACCCCACAACAGAAGCCTGACACCACAGCTTCCTGCTTTTGGCACGAGGTTGTAGAATTGGTGTATCTCACCCTGCAACCTCTGCTTGGCCATGTGCCCTACCTCACTGATTATTTTTAATAGGAACAGCTCATCCTATTTTAGTGAGTGGTTTCTGAATACCACAAATTATTGCTCGAATTTCATTACCACCAACCTTCCATTAGAAGTATTCTTTTAAGTCTCTCAATTTTAAATGCTATGCACATATAAATGGGCTATTTTATTTGTTCTAACCTTTTTTGTGTATGAACTCAAACCTTTTTGACAGGCAAAGTCAAATCTAGTCATACATTTAACTAGAATGATCGCTCCTATTTAACTTTGCCTCCTTCAGCATTACGAGTAATTGCTGGAACATTCCAGAACATTCAGTATGATTTTTCAAGATTGATTATTCCCTAATTGATTGTAAATGAATAGGGATTTTTAATATATAGACTTAAGTATGTATATAGCACTTCTAAACATACATTTTATATTGTGTTTAATACCATTGTAAACGTCTCCCTCCAGAGTACAGGTCATTTGACCATTTAATAATTTATTATTGAAACTATAGACTGAGTTTGCATTTGTCGTAATCATCCATTTTAGAAATTATACCACTCTATGGGATGTCAAGCTACATTACCCGGGAAGACCAGTACAGCAAACCGCCGCACAAAAAACTGAAAGACCGCCAGATTGACCGTCAGAACCGTCTCAATAGCCCCCCTTCCATCTACAAAAGCAGCTGCACCACAGTGTACAATGGCTACGGCAAGGGCCACAGTGGTGGAGGCCACAGTGGAGGAGGCCACAGTGGAGGAGGTCACAGTGGCGGAGGCGGGGGAGGCGGCAGCGGTGGTGGGCCAGGAGTTAAGAAAACAGAGCGGCGAGTAAGAAGCAGCCCCAAGTCGAATGACTCAGACCTGCAAGGTAATAATTCCCGAGACACTCGCCATATAGAGGGAACAGCCAAGACAGGGCCCCCCTCCAGCAAGCTTTTCTGCTCAGAATGATTGCATAGACCCCTCTCTGTTCTCTTTCTTAGCAGAGGAAAACACTGCCTCATCTATCATTTTGTTCTTAATACTTTATGACAACACTTAGAAAAAATTTACCTGTGTTTGTCCCACTCAGCTTACTTTCATCTTACTAACAAATACATGAATGTGTTCTTCCGTGAGCCAACTTCTGTTGTTTCTCTCTTAAATAGACAGCTGTGGAAGAGACCATATATTCAAGAGGTTTAGGGGCCAGTTTTGTTTTTTTTTTTTTTTTTAGGGGCCAGTTTTAGTCTCCAAATCCTTATATCTCATAAATCCCCGTCTGATTACTTCTGTCCTGTAGTGAAACAATGTATTTTCTTTTAGATTCAATCTATAACTGTAGCTCCATTGATTTGGGGAGGAAAGGATAAGTGACTTAAACTATATTTTAGGCTGAGACTTAGAGATGACCTCTTTTGACACCATAGGAGTAAGAGGCAGACTTCATGGAAGCCAGAAAAGGTAGTGTTTTGATCTGTTAAGTGAGTCTCTGGTGACCTGGGAATCCAACATATGAACAACTGTGAAAGTCAGGAGAAGAGTTGATTATGACACTCACTAAATTAATGCTTCCTTCTTAGACCCCATCCAGGTAGAATCAGGGCTCTGCATACGTGAGAATGGAAAAGGCTGAGGTTTTTACAGTATGTGGGGGTCACCTTTCAGAAAGCCATTTTTCATTCTGTCTTGGTTCAGCTGAACCCACATCTGAGCTGAAACAGAAGAGTTGGAGATGTTGAAGAGCCCAGGAGAGGCCACCTGGTGGTTGAGGTTGAGCTTGACTCAGTTGCTCAAACATGAGCCTTGTGAGGAATCTGGTAAGCGCTTTGGAAGGTGGAGGTTTCTGGGGCTTAATAGGACAGGGTAAAGAGTCCCTCTTAGACATGGATGCATCGTTCTTTGATCTCTTCCAGTACTTGCCACTCTGTCCCTCTCATTTGTATTCATTTTGGTTATAGTAAGTGTAATTCTTTCTGGCATGTGAGGAACCTTGATGGTATAGGGTTAAACCCCTCTGGCAACCAAAAAGCTGCTCCTTCAAACGTACCAGTTACACTCAGTGGAAGAAAGGTGACCATTCTGCCTCCAGAGAGGCTACAGTCTTGGGAGCCTGGTGGGGAAGTTCTGCCTTGTCCGTTGCTGTGAGTTGAAACCATCTTAAAAGCAGTGGGTTTGATTTCTTCAGTTGCATCTATCTCCTGTGAGCGCTGAGATTCCTCCAAACAGATTATTGGACCTGGAAGAGCAGGGAGAACTGATAGACTTAAAGTGGAAGCAATCATGTCGCTGACAGTGGATTTACATTGTGGTTTCTGATCTGACGTGAGGAGAGACCCGTGGACCCCTGAGCATGTAACTCATCTCCACTGACCCAGCCTCAGGCGGCTCGGAATAAGACCAGAGCTGCATAGGCAGCTGGGCTGTGAACTGACCAGGGGAGGGAAAATTGAAGTGGAGTGAGGCTTGTTATCTATCAACCTTTTGGTATCGGAAATACATGATACCATCCTGGACTCGTTGACACAGTTGGTGCTGTAAGAAAGATTTGCTGAGGGACCCTGTCAGTGTGGTTATGTGTGTCTGATTGTCTCTGGAAGGTGCATTTCTGTCAGGACAGAGGGAAATTGGTTAAAACCAGATGTTGACATGGGTGAACTGTAGCACGAAGTAAAGAAATGTAAAACAAGACAGGAAAAGTGATTTCCCTGCATGGTTAAATTACAGTTTCTTGATGCTTTTCTCTTTTCTATATTTTACTTAGTTATGCATTCGTCATGGAGTTGTTATTATCATAATTACATGAGAAAGAATCGGGTAAAAGCCATCAAAGGGTCTGGAGCTTTAAAAGGATTCTTTTTTTTAATTGAGATTTTATTGTAAGTTTATAAAGAACTTAGATTTCCATTCTAACATGGTTCTTAAGACAGAGGGCAATGCTTGCCATATAAAATTAGTTTTTAGTACAATTAGAATTAGTTTACTAGCAATCTTACCATTTTACCTTAGGTTTATGAGGACACACACAAACAGAGCAGTAAGTTTTCCTGAGGAAAACTTTAGTCCAAAGAAAAGGCATGAAGAGTGTATTGCAGGCTTATAAGAGTTTATTAGGTTTGAACTATTTTTGACTGCTTGATTGAGTCATCTGCCTTGCACCAAAAAGAACTTAAAACAGATGAGATAGATACACAAGTAGAAGCAGATAAGATAGATATCAGTAAGATTCAATAGGCAAAATGATGATAAAAACTCACTGCCCTTGAGTCTGTGCTGACGCTTAGCAACCCTCTGCTGGGGTTTCAAGGCTGTACCTCTTTGTGGGAGAAGACTGCCCCTCTTTTTTCATGGAGATGCTGGTGGATTTGAACCACTGACCTTTTGTTAACAGCTCAACACTTTATGGACAGCGTATATACCACCAGAGTACCGTTAGTGATAGTAGAATCCCCCAGACCAAATTCACTGCTGTTAAGTGAGTTCTGACTCTTAGAAACCCTGTATCAAGTTACTGAACTGTAGAACTTTATGGACAAGGACTGCCCGTCATTCTCCTTAGGAGCTTGGATTCGAACCACCAGCCTTGTGGTTAACAGTGCAGCACATGATGAACTAACTACTCCCCCAAGCAAGAGAGTTAAAACTAACATGAAGAATTAATGCAATTAAGGATTAATAATACAGCACAAGCATCCTCCTTATACATTTGCTTCGTGTTGTGACTGTGAGCCACTGAGTCAGAACTGACCTACCGCTCGCCCTCCAACAGGTTTTCAGAGAAAATTAATCGCATGGGAGGAGATTAGCCATTTTATTTTTCTCCCCCTCAAAGCAGCTGGTGGATTGAAAATAGGTGCCTTTGTGTTGGCGGTCCAACTCCTTACCACGAAGCCACCAGAGCTCTCTGGTCCCATCTTGCATATGTCTCAATATATAAGGATCTCTGCATCTTAATACTCTCTTAGCTGTGAGAGGAAATGTTTTATATTTATGATAAGGTATTTGCTTGTGTAGACATGTGATTCCTTACAATCTGACGTTTTCCCTCATGGAGAGAGGATTTATATACTGAGCACCTTAAATGTTTTACCGTTGTGTGTAAAGTATGTAGATGTGTTGAGTAATAGAAATCACTGCGCCATGGGCATGTGCATTTTGTGTTGAAAGCGGAAGACGAACGTTTTTATCTCAGCTTTATTTCATACTTGGTCTGCGACTTTGTTTTCTCATTTTCTTTGTCCCCTGAAAAATCACACTAAGTGCTGCCGCTTTCCACCTGGTTTAACCTTGAAGAATTGATGGATTACTCTGATAAGTGATGGTTTCTTAACATACTGGATAACACTAAGTTTAGGAGAAAACGGAGGCTGTAGAAGATGAATCATGACTAAGGTTGTACGTTAAAGATTCTGTAGAGCTTCTGGAGAGTCTCTTGATGTACGTCGTAGATTTGGCTTGCTTCCTGGCTGTCAAAGCAAAAAGAGAAACACGATCAAGTAAAGTAGGAGAACAGTAAAGTACCTCTCATTCCGGGAGCCTAGCTCTGTTCCTCATGACGTTTCAGTCCTGTCTGCGTCACAAGGTGATCGTTGGCTCAATGAGCCCAAAAGACTTCTTTCTTTGCCTTCCCATAAATGTGCACATTCTAGTTTTGTAAAGTGTATTTCTTGTTTAAATTTAATGCCCTTAACTTCTGTCCCCAGGAAAAGAGTCTCTTAAACAATTCTTCATTTACAGTGCCAGCCGATTAATGTTAAACTTGACTTAGTTCACGTTCTGGTTGACCTGTTTTCCTGTGTGTAGTTTGCACAAGAATGGGATATGTGCTTCCCTGTGAGTTTTGACTTGGGATTTTCCTGCATTCTGTTTCAGTTCAGCGTCCACATTTCTAGAGAGGTCCTGCACTCTCATTCTGGAATTTCCTAACTTTGGCAGAAATCTTCTTGAATAATTCTCTTTTAACCATTTGAAAAAGACCTAATTTTCTTAAAAAAATAGGAACATGCTTAATTTGCTTCTGATCCTGTGATAAAGCCAAACACATGCAAAATCAGACAACTTAAATATATTAAAGGATGAAGAGAAAGTGATTGTTCACTTGAGTCCTGATTTTCTCAGTGCTACACAGATGGAACTTTTGGAGAGAAAAATAATATAGATGCCCAGATCTGCTACGTTGAGATTTTCTTGCCTGCTTTGCTTTTGTGGTGTACAGTATGGTCACTCAGGCTCAAGTGTGACTACTCTGAAATTTGGGATATTTGCTCTGGTCTCGGATCACTGAACTGCACACAGTGTGAGGCAAGAACTTCATTTTATTCCCCATTCTCCCATCCATCTTGCACTAAGCCTGCCATATATAGTGAGTCCTCAGTAAATATTTGTGGAATGCGTCCTGTATTACTAATTACTTTGTTTTCTAGAGCAGGCCTTCTGTTGGTCCACTTGCTGCCATTATACCATTTCCTTTTCCTGGGGCAAATTGTTCAAGGATACACTCTTCCGCTGAAGAAGCCATTTCTTCAGCCGGCCTCGGTGGGGCAAAGCCCTGCAGTACTCTTAGAAAATATAAGATTCCCATTTTCTTTTCCACACTGTGGAGCTAAAGGTATCGCACAGGCAGATAACAGCTGGGGCTTTCCTGCCAGATTCACTTAGAATCAAGCTTTGTCACGTGTTCATTATTCGTTTTTAATATTGTTGGAATCTCTGTATCTTTGTGTCTCAGATAGTTAATACTGTGTAATACATTGATGCTTAAAATACTATGATACTATAAAAATGTACATAATCCCAGACCCTAAAATGTGAGGATTAAGCAAGTCTCCACTTTCTTACTTTTGAGTTACCTGTATTCAGTCACCTGCATGACATTTTCTCTCTTTGTTA